ATAATCACTAAACAACTACGTTCGACCACTTACACTTGTTTTCTCTTGGGATGGGAGATGTAAAGAAAAGCACGACACCTCATATACTCGCGTCGTTACTTGTCTTTAATTTGAATCGGCCGCGTTATTGACAAAGCTTATTGACGGGGATCGCTACGGAGCAGACGACAGAGAATGATAAGCGAGAATTGGAGCAGATGATCGAACAGTTAAAGTATAGAAAGTGAAGTGCAATAATTTGTTAATCAGCTCCTATAAATAGAATATCATACCTGGATTAGAGGCTTTAAATGGTGTTTCTCTTATTTTTACAGGTATGATAAAATAATGTAAATACTTTTGTAAACAGGATAATTAAACGAACTCTTATTTTTACAGAGAAACTATTGAGTCTTTAATCGGAAGATACTCCTACTTTATAAATTAAATAAACAAGATTATTATATGTATATTTTATGTTTATTTTAAATTTGCACCTTGAATAATATATCAGTTACTTTTCATGTTGGTGATATATTAAAAATTTAGATAATTATCAAAATATAAACATATTGGAGTGTCTTTTTTGGAACTTGGCCAGACCTTATCATTTATGAATTTTTGTGCTATATCACTTACTTTTTTATAAATGTACAAAATTAATGACAGAATTGAAATTATTTTTCAATTATTTTTGCACATTTTGAATGTAACATTTATATTAAGTCAGTTATATATTAACTAAATTATTTTACATTCTAACACAAGTATTTTGTTTCATATCACACTTACATTCTATGAAACAGATGTTTCATTTCAAATATTCAAACTAAACTATTTTTAGTTGTAACATGTCTTCGATTTAACTGCCCCATTGATATGAAGCTATGGATAGCTGAATGTGAAATATCTTTGCTTCATATCACGGTTATGTTAAAATTTTTATAAAATATGCGAAAAAAATTATGATATGATATCAAAGACATGTTAAACATAAAATAATTAAGTTAGAACATTCAAAATGACACTTATTATGTTTCACCTAGCATAATTGTGATATCAAACGCAATACTTATGTTATTAGTTATTTTTTAATATTACCAATAAAACATCTGTTTCACAGGACATAAGTGTGATATGAAACACAATACTTGTGTTATAATGTGAAATATTTTAGTTAATATGTAATTAAGTTAATATAAATGTACAAAATTAATTATGTAACAGAATTGAAATTATTTTTTAATTATTGTTGTACATTTCGGATGTAACACTTATATAAACTATGATATAAACTATAATATCAAATCAGCGACATATGAAACATAAAATAATTAAGTTAGAACTTTCAAAAGGACACTTATTGTGTTTAATATAACGTAACTGTGATATCAAACGCAAAGACTTATGTAATTAGTTATTTTCTAATATTACTAATAAAACATCTGTTTCACATGACTTAAATGCTATATAAAACGCAAGACGTGTTATAATGTAAAATAGTTTAGTTGATATGTAATTAAATTAATATAAAAATGTACAGAAATGTACAAAATTAATTATGTGACAAAATTTAAATTATTTTTCAATTATTTTTCTACATTTCAAATGTAACATTTATATTAACTTAATAATATATTAACTAAATTTTTTTACATTATAAGTTTTTGCGACTGGATCGATGTCGACGTCGATGAGATTTTCTTCGTTCATTAATACTAATAAAATTCTATTACATGGCAGTTTATTTGTTAATAAAATGTTAACAAAATTAAAGAATATAATTTTCTTTTTCATACTTTGCAGAAGTTTTTTTTAATACTCTTCGAGTTATTTTATATCTAAATCTGACATATTTCAATATAAAATTTAAATTAAAATATCTCTTTAAATTAAAATATTAAGTTATGGATAATCTTACCGTAATACTTTTATGATTAGAATAATGAGAAGTGGTAAAGAAAACGCATAATTGTTAAAAAAAAGTACATTGTAAATTACATACTTTTTCTTCAAAATAACAATGGGTTTTTTTACACGTATTGATTCGTTTTATTATTCTGCGCATAAAAATATTACGGTAAGATTATCAATAACTAAATATTTTTAAAAATTTTAGATTTTATATCAAAATATGTCATATCTCTCTCTCTCTCTTTCATGTTTGCGAAATTTTCGTAGTGCAACTTGGGGAAGTCGAATTCATTGACCCTTGGCACTTGGTGCATGAAATGCACGTAGCGCAACTCGGGGTACTCGAGTTCGTCAACTCTTGAGACCTGGTGCGAGGAATTTCCGTAGCGCAACTCCCGAAAATCGAATTCGTCGACTCTTGGCACCTGGTGCGAAAAATTCCCGTAGCGCAACTTACAAAAGTTGAATTCGTCGACCCTTGACACCTGGTGCGAGGAATTCCCGTAGCACAACTCGGAGAAGTCGAATTTGTCGACCCTTTGCACCTAATGCGAAAAATTCTTGTAGCACAACTCGCAAAAGTCGAATTCGTCGACCCTTGACACATGGTGCGAGGAATTCCCGTAGCGCAACTCGGGGTAATCGAATTCGACAACTCTTGGCACCTGGTGCAAAAAATTCTCGTAGCGCAACTCGCGAAAGTTGAATTCGTCGACCCTTGGCACCTGGTGCGAGGAATTCTCGTAGCGCAACTCGTAAAAGTCGAATTTGTCGATCCTTGGCACCTGGTGCGTGGAATTCCCGTAAATTTTAATGATAATGATAATACTCTGGGCTCCGTAAATTCTTTAACCGCCCCTGCGGACAGAGGAGAAGAATAAGGAGACGACGTTTCTTAATTTTTGCATTACCAACATCACTTTTTGACCGCTTGTATCTCCGGAACGGCTGGACCAATTTTAATTTTTTTTGGCTCAAATTAGTCGTGGCGATGCCGCCATTAAGGATATACTATGTGTTTTTGTAAAATTTTTTATATTTTAGTTGCTACAAACCCCCGAAAAATCGACTTTGTGCGCGCAGGATAAGAGACTTAGTAGTGTCATTTTCTGAACTTTGCCAGAGACACTACCGCGTCTCCTGACTTGTATCCTGTTCTTGGCCTGTTGGACACACGATCTGAGAAATCAACAGGTTTTCCAACAATTTGTTTGCCTTTAAATTTGTTAAATGCTTCTTTAGCACTGATATGTAACTGTTCCACACAAGTGCTGTCAGGTTCTTCCTAAATAAATCAGTTACCAATTAGCATATCAAATGTTATGTGCAATGCAAATGTGCATCTCACCTCGCAATACATTCGCATTTGCTCTGATTCAGGCAAATCGCTTGTCTCGTAAACGTCAAGTTGATCGTACGCCTGCAATATTTATTATTAGTATAACTCAGAATTGGTATTTGCTCACAATATGACATATAAAAATGCGACAAGTATGTAATATATGATAAACTTACAATTCCTGGTAAATCAGCGTATTTAGGGTCTGCCATCGTTTTAATCGCGCAAATTGTTCACAACTATTGAAAAATATTATCAAAATTAGAATCAAAACCGTAATAAGGTGTGGTCTTCAACAGACTTGAACAACTTAAATCAACTAATAGCGTTTTTCACTGAGCCGCACTGAGTGCGCACCGAAAACTTGTTCAGTAGCAGCAGCACTGTACGAGGTTGCCGAAAGTGCGAGTTTCTCGCACTCCCAGCTAAACAATAAACTACATGTGTCAAGTGCCAAAAAGTGCAATATTTCTGGATTTACGAAAAATGATGGAACAATCAGAGAAATTAAACATTTGCTTTAAAGTCAATAATGACATGCTGTCATTAAAACTTCAATCAAGTGAAACAGACTTATTCAATAAATTGATAATGTGTCAAAAATGATAATATGTCCAATTCAGCAGAGGTAGATTTATTACCTCCGTGAGTTCTATCAGACGGATAGAATTGTGAAATTGCGTAAATATCAATTATTTTATAAGCTGTTGCTCTTGCAACACGAAAATGACTTTTGTACTGTAACAATAATATATAATTATTTGTAGCACTTATATACAACACATGTATATATTTTTTCACATAATACAATACCAATACAGTACAATAAACAATACCTGTACAGCAACAATTAAATTATTAATAAATAATAAATATATAATCACGACTTACGTCCTTATCCATAAGATTATATACAACATTAATAAAATTTTCAATTTTTGGAATTTTTTGTAGATTTCCTTTTGTTATTTCATCTTCATCACTGCTAGATGATGAAGAAGATAGCAAATCTAGCAATTGAAGAGCATTAAAAATATCGCGCGCTGCCATCTTGCACTCAACCGACACCGTCTCTTAAAGCTCGTGTTGAATTTATGCACTAACGTGCAAAAACTCGGCACTCAACTTTTCACTGAAACAGCGCGCTCCGTCTCCGTGCGCACCGAAATGCCCAGTGAAATACGTTGCCCTCATCTAGTGCGCACCAGTGCGACCAGTGAAAAACGCTATAAGAACATAGACTTATATAAATAGACCCAGCGTTCTGTGAGAGGAGTTGTCCGCGTCTCTAAAGGACAGAATGAT